TGAAGGAAACATGACCTTGGATGAGGAATGTCCCCAAATGAATGACAGCTAAGAGATATCTTCTGGAAATACACCTGGCGTTGAGGAACAAGGTCTTCATTCCTGAAGGGGAATGGAGGGGTGGGTTACAGCAATCACTACAATCTCCAGCTCAAAGCAATTGACTTTAGCCATATTCCCTTGTATTAAGCAAGGGCTATATCTTCACTAAGTTTTCAGGTTTTTTTTTTCCTTTTAGAAAGTGTTAATTTTGATTTTGAGACTTTTGAGGACAGATACCGTATTTAAAGTAAAGCATTGAGATTTAATAAAATCTAGTGAAGGAATGCTTGAATAAATGATCCAGGAGCCCAGTTAACCATAACACAGGAGTCTAAATTGACTCACAAACAGATTGTGAGTTTCTCAACACTGAAAGAGGTTATTCAGGGCTGGGGATGTAGCAGTAGCGCACTCGCCTGGCATGCGTGCGGCCCAGGTTCGAGCCTCAGCACCACATACAAAAATGTTGTGTCCGCTGAAAACTAAAAAATAAATATTGAAATTCTCTCTCTCTCTCTCTTAAAAAAAAAAAAAAAGAGGTTATTTAGACTTTTGCCCCCCAATGCCCACCTGAATTTTATTAGTATATACAATGTATGTCAACTTTATACAATTTTTGTTTTACTTCCAAGAACTAGTAATTTTCAACCCCATGGGAGCCGTATAGCTCAGTTGAGAATGCATGAATTGCCTTAGTGACTGCTAAGAGGATCTGATTTCCTAAGTCAGCTCTTTGACCCATTCTCTTATGTAGCAAAATCCATGTGAGAACTCATATTACTAAATGTGATACGTTGAGAATGAAATCAGGTCAAACGGGGTTAAATGATTTTAAGAGGTTAATTATGGAGTTAAGATTACCCAATACTCATTTTCTCACTATAAGATTATAGTAAATCAGTAACTGTATAGTCAAGGGAGATACCATTACTTTGCCTAGATTCCACACGACTTACTACATTTGTCTCTCTCTCTCTCCATATGTCTATGTATGTGTATGTATATAATATAATATAATTTTTGTTAGAGTCATATAAACACCTTTGTACCTATAACCTAGCTGGAGGGATAAAACTTTGCAGAAACATCTGTAGCCCCCTGAATACTCCACACCAATCCCCCAATCCCATTTTTCTCCCTTCATCACTAGAAATTATTTGGTGTTATTTCTGCGTATGATTTTACATTTTCAATACATATGTATAAACTTGTTTTATAAATTTTCAAAGCACGGTATCAAAATGTAAGCATTCTTTGGTATTGTTATTGTTGTATGGCATTCCCTGAATGAATATATCACACTTTTCCTAGTCATCACTTGGATAGACTTTTTGCTTCCCATGGCCCCCACCCTGATGTTCCAGTGAGGTAGGATTGATAAATTCCAGTTTTTAGTTCCACACAAGTTCTAACCATATTGTCTGATCTCTTAGAAGACTTAGAAACATACATAAACTATCTTTTAGGATAATTTCCTTGTTTACTAATTATTATTTATTCTGAGGATGACCCTTTCCTCACATTACTTCCAAATTTTTGGTTCACTAAACTACAGATCCCTGCTTTGCTGTAAAATTATCCTCCTAGGTATTTAATTCTGTGACCCAGCAGTTTATAATGGCAAGAATCTACATTTTGAAGATGCAAATCAACAATTTTTGTTGATCTGTCTTCAAACAAAGGCTGCTTGTGTGGAAGTTGGCTTCCCACACTGCTATGGTCTGAATGTTTCTATTTCTCACAAAATCTGTATGCTGAATCCCTAACCCCAATGTGATTCTATTTGGACAGAGAACTTTTATAGAAGTAATTAGGGTTAAATGGGATTCTGATTTTATAAAATTGGTGTCCTTATGAGAAGAAATAATGTAAGTTCACTTGCTGCCAACCATGCTTGACATTGGATTTCCAGAACTGAGAGAAAACAAACTTTAGCTGTTTAAGCAACTTGGTCCATTTTGTTGTTGTTGTTGTTTTCCTTTGCAATACTGGGGACTGAACCCAGAGGACTCTGCCACTGAGCAACAACCCTGGCCCCTTCTTAAAATTTATTTTATTTTATTCAGTACTGAGAACTGAATCCAGGGACCTTCTACCACTGAGCTATATCACCAGCCCTTTCTTTTTAATACAGTTTTCGTAAATTGCCCAGGATGGCCTCAAACTTGGGATCCTTCTGCCTCAGCTGCCTGAAGTAGCTAGGATCACAGATATGTACCTTAAAGCCTGGCTTATTCTGTGGCATTTTGTTGTGATTGTTGTAGCAAACTAATACATGCACTAACTCCAGACCTGACTGCATACTGAAAAAGAGGAGGAAAGCAATGGGAAGTCTGGATTCTAGTCTAAGCTCAATCATTCTGATTCTAGGGTTTGACATTAAATCTTCTTGTCAATAAAATGAGTGGCATTAAGTAGCACTTTTTTCAGGTCCCTTAAAACTGAATGTATTTAACACATATGTTGTGGGCTATGACTTAGGCATTACAGTGCCAGGATTCTATCTTAAAGAAAAAATGAATAATAGTCATAGATTTAGTTACAGAATATCCATGACAGAATTACATTTGATGGCAAAATAAAATCTGTTGAAAAATACAAACAAACAAAAAACTATCCAAAATTAAAGTATGTTAAATTATAGTAGAGACAAACAATGCAGTATCTTTGCATTAAAAATGATACTTTATTTATTGAGAAAACTGTTTAAAAAAAACCTGCTTTGGTTATAATTATAACATCAAGGTTATAGTATTGAGAAATCATGTATCAGCAAAAATAACTTGTTTGAAATCCCATCAGCACCAACTCATATGAATCACTTTTAAAATTTTTTGAACTGCTTTTTTGAAATATAGTTAATATAAACTATAATACTTAAAGTACACAATTTGGTACTTTGGTAAAGTTTTAAAATACGTATACAACTGTAAAACTGATACCATCTGTTACTGGTGATGAGTCCTGCTTCCTCACATATTGAAGTATAACATTAGAGAAGCACTGAGAGGCAAGCATATAAAGCAGGGTTTATTTAAAAAAGGGCTACTTCTCCTGGGAGGGAGAAGGGGACCATAGCTGGTATCCCCAGAAGTCAGGGTGTTCTGCCTTTTTATCTGTCCTAGGTTTTCCGACTTTCTTCTCCCGCTTCTCTCTCTCCTTTCTGCATATCTATATGACTAGGCCCAGGAGATACTGCATGGGATGGCCAAAAGGTAGAGGGGTCAGGGAGGAGTGGTCTGGGTAGGAAAGGGGGCCTAGGGTGAATTAGCAGTTCCAACTCCAGTCTGCTCAGAAGTTGCTTCATTAACAATTCTTTAGGATGGGCAGTATAGGCCAATCTCCCAAGGGCACAATTTCCAACCTTTGGACCCAAACCGGTTTGGTCTGTTTTCTACAATCTGGCCTGATTTATCAATCTAGGCTAACTACCTGTTTTTTAATTTTGGCTTCAAAATCATCACCACAATCAAGATAATGAACATATTAATCACCCCAAGTTTCCTGGTACTCCTAGTATCTCCCCCTCCTACCTTTTTGTTCTTACCTAGCATCCCCAAGTAACCACTTATTGGCTTTCTGTCACCAAGGATTATTTTGCATGTTCTAATTTTACATAAATGGAAACATACAATATGTTCTTTGGAGGGGGAGGGGCAGTGAGAGAGAGATCCTAGATTCTTTCATTCAGCATAATTGAGATTCATTCATGTTGTTCCATGTATTTATAGTTCATTCCTTTTTATAGCTGAGTGGTATTCCCTTTTATGGGCCACTTCCAGAAAAAGCAGTCCTTATTTCCAACCCAGGTTTGGTTTCAGACACATTTTACATTTATCTCAACTTTACCATTCAGAAGGGATTCCCAGTCTACTTAGACCAGAGTTGGTATTAACTTAATATTACATACAACTCTGCTTTGCTTTCCGTCTTTCGAAACATGGTTTCTTTTAAAATTTTACCTAAATTTTATCCCTCTGCAAATCAATAAACATAACTTTGTGTGACTGCAGCAGCAGAGTTCTTGGTAGGCTTTATCAGATGATTTTTATTAATTGACATGAACGCTCATGTCTATATTAAGTGGAAAACAGTAAACAGCAGATGACCCCATTTTTCTTTTCAAAATATAAATACATGGAAAGATGAGGAGAAACTTAAAAAATGAGTATATTTGTATTATCAATATAGGAAACATTTGTTTCCTGTTTTTAAGATTACAGTTACAAAAAAAAATAATATGATTTGGGAGTCAAATACTTCACTACTATTATTGTAAGTTTAATCTATAAATTCACAGGAGTTAAATCTAGACTGGCCAGCGGAACTTCTTAGGAAATCATGACCCTTCATGTCTGGAACCATAACAAATATGTAAATCTTTTTTCAAAAATATGAATGGAATTTGTTAATTTTTAGAGCTTAAGCAGATTCCAATGACATCTTCTAAGTTTCTGACTTTATAATTTACAGCATTTAATTATAAGCCTACATAAAGTTTAGCAGAAGTTTATTTTTATTATTACAAAACTCCCTTCCACCCACTAATCACAACATGCTACAACTGCTAAAAAGTAGGTCAAAATACTTGACATATTTTTGGCATTGGGTTCTTGTACTTAGTTCACTTGTTTACATACTAATGATCATTTAATGCTAAAACATTAAGTTTTCTTACAGAAAAAAATGAAATTTAAACACCCTAAGGCAGTCCCCAAACATCTTTGAAATTAAAATCTGAAAAGGCAATTCATTCCCTTCTAAAGCTACATCTCACAGTTGGTCCACAGAGCACACAAAAATAGAATTTTTAAAACTCCTTTTAATGCGTTGTAAAAAACCTTAAAATAAAACGTAACGAGGAAGCTACCTCTACACGTAAACACAATCTAATGAGCTTCCTCTCATTATTTCTTATAGAAAGTTACAAATTAGCAGCAAAATAATAGTACCGCCCACAAGCTTTCAGAATTTTTTATTCTGGATACTAAAAACAGCACGACTGAATGAGCTCAACAACGCAAACACGCTCTAGAATGGCTAGCAGAGGGCAGACACTCAATATTAACAGTTGGCCCGAAGATAAATATCCACTTGGTGAATTAAACCCAGCTTCACCCTAGGAGGAGGGGTGGGTGCCTGGCTTCCGACTCCACTGAATGCACTCTGGAAGCATCTAGCTGACTGGTAACCTAAGGAAGAAAAAGGCGCTTTCATTTCAACATCACTCCAAGAAAGAAAAAAAAGAAAGAAGAAAGGAAAAGAAAAGAAAAATAAGAATGAAAAGCCCTACACCTCTACCCAGAGAGAATTTGACCCAGACCCCGTGCTCGGGTTCCTCGCTCTTCACCATTCTCCCCGAGCCCGCCCTCCACGAGCACCCTTCCGTTGCACTCATTCAGAGCATCCCGACTATCTCTGTGTTACCGGCCCACCTGCGGGGCTTCCTCCAATTAAGTCTTCCAGCCCCCAGTCCCGGGTCACCAATCCCTAGGTTCCACTTCTCTGCCGGGCCGGTACCCGCCACCGCCACGCCTTCGCGCCACGGTTCTCTTCCCGCCCAGCCCCTCCCGCGCCCACGTGACACCCACGCCCCGCCCACCGCACCCACGTGACCCGCGGCCATCCCCGCGCGCGGCGTGGATCGCGGCCGGAGCCGCCATTGTTCCGCCGAGGGAGGACAGCGGGGCCTGGCGCTAGCGCCGAGACGCCGCTTAGCGGTCGCCACTGGAGACACTCCCTCCCTTCGCCCCGCTCTCCTCCTGGCGGCGGCGGCGGAGTGAGGCTGATAGGGGGAACCTGGGAGCCCCTCTGTCCTCCCCGCGGCGGCAGCGGCCGATCGCCGGCTCCGGCGCGAGGAGCGGCCGCGATGCGCTCGGCCTGAGGTGGCCCGGCAATCGTCGCTTCCTTTGACTCTTCCACGGCGTCTCTGCGCCCAGCGTCATCCTTCAATTCCCCCTGACCGGAGGGAAGATGGCTGCACGAAGCTGGCAGGACGAGCTGGCCCAGCAGGCCGAGGAGGGCTCGGCCCGGCTGCGGGAAATGCTGTCGGTCGGCCTAGGCTTCCTGCGCACGGAGCTGGGCCTAGACCTGGGGCTGGAGCCGAAGCGGTACCCGGGCTGGGTGATCCTGGTAGGCACCGGCGCACTCGGGCTGCTGCTGCTCTTCCTACTGGGCTATGGCTGGGCCGCAGCTTGCGCCGGCGCCCGCAAGAAGCGGAGGAGCCCGCCCCGCAAGCGGGAGGAGGCGGCAGCCGTGCCAGCTTCAGCCCCTGACGACCTAACCTTGCTAAAGAATCTCCGAGGCGAGGAGCAAAAGAAGAAGAACCGGAAGAAGCTGCCCGAGAAACCCAAAGTGAGTAGGGGTGAGGGACAGGTACAGCGTGCCGGCGCCGCGACCTTCGAGCGAGGGGAGGGCCGAGCTCCAGCCAGGGAGCAAATAGAGTGTGGTTAGGCGACAGCCGAGGCGCAGATCTGCCAAAGTGGAGGAATAAGTGATAGGTGGGCATGTTACTTTGGGGAGTAGGGGAAACTCCGGAGGTATAAGGGCGGGTAGAGAAGCCCAGTTTTCCAGGAAGTTAGATGCTCTGAGTTAAGTATAAACAAGAATACTCAGAGGTCAAACCACCTTCAGGAACCTTGACACTAGAATAACATACCTTACCTTAAGGCCTACCTTAAGGGTAGGCTGCACGTGGAGGGTAATGGGACCTTAAAGGCGGTGTTGGGAAGTTGTGCAAAGAGTACACCTGGAAGATCGCTCTCAAGTCACACTAAGACCGTAGCCAGAAATTCGGTGACCTAAAAACTCGGGCTTACAGAGGATTAAGGGTGTCCAGATCTAGACCCGCTTCCATTTTAGTTGGGACTTTAAAGGGAAATGGTTGCCCACTCTTGGTCTGGTGAGTTGGGCCAAGGGAGGCCAGAACAGAAACAAGGCAAGTGAGAGTCGGCTTCCCAATATTCTTCAGGGGTATTTGGCCACAAAGAGAAAGAGCTCAGGCAAGTTAAGCGAAATGGACTGTTGTGCACTCCATGATGTGGGAGGTTTTTGAAATAGGATAAAAGGGGATGACGGGGCAGAATGGTGAAGGTTGAGGGTTTCAGGCACCAATTTACTGGACCACGTGTGGAAATGCAGAGGGCATCGTATCCCTTTTGTCATACCTTCATGTTTTACTTGTACATTCTTTATTGCCATTTTTCTGGTGGTTTTCCCCTTTATATCTTTGTTAGTTTCATATTTTTAAAATGCTTTACAAGTTGAGCACATTGAGAATATGGAGGTCATGCAGAGTTAGAAATATCCCTTATCCTATTTTTTTATTCACGTAATTAATTTTTGCCTTTCAGTATAATTCAGTAATCCTTTTTTTTTAATTTTTTATTTTTTTTATTGGTTGTTCACAACATTACAAAGCTCTAATTCAGTAATCCTTACTATGAAAAGTGCACGCTGTTGTGTTTGGTTGGCAGTATGAGGTATGCACATAGGAGTTAAGAGTCAATCACAGGATACCGATTCATAAATAACTATAATATTGCAGACTGCTAGGTGCTAACAGAGATGTGAACAGAGTATTAATGAGGTTTGGAGGGTGGGAGACTCATTCCATTGGATGGATTTAGAAAAGTTATTGAGGGAAGTGGAGTATAAATTCAAACTTATGAGAATATTGTTGGTAACAATACAAAAATAAGGCTATATTAGAGATGTGACAGGTCACAATCAATTAGTTAAACATTGATGTTTTGCTTGCTGATTAGGAAGTGCAAGATATGAAAGCTAGAAAGGGCACAACTTAGGAGAAGAAAGAAATAGAACTGACTTGGAACATAATAAAAATGCAGAGAGCACCAAGGATTGCCAGAAAGTAATGTTATGATGGAATTAAAGAACCTGGCTCTAGGGTAAAGAAGGTGATCTTGGGGTTGGGGGGGACGACCCACACATATTAATCCTAAACCCTGTGCAGATGTGGCAGGTTGTGAAAATTTCAAGGCCCTATTTGGGACATCTAGAATTTCAGATGGACTTGAGGCAAGAGACAGGTGCTCCAAAGAGCCCATCTGAAGTGCATCATAACATTCAGATGACTCATCTGAAGAAGGAACAGATTGGTGAACACTTGACACTATGAAAAATGCACATTTGATTTAGGGCTTACCGCCTCTTTTGAGTTAAGAAATGGGGAAATGAATAAGTAAATAAACCTAGAATTGGCTTTGAGAAGTGGAGAATAGGGACACTGACTGGATGATGAAATATTAATTGGGTGAGAAAGTAAATGTTCACTTATCAAAATGTTGAAGATGTTATCAAGGTATTACCTACAAATAAAAGGCAGTAAAAAGAGATACAGTATTCTAAATTGGATCACATTTGTTGGTTTCACATTTGATTGTGAGGCATGATCCACAGAAAAATACTGCTTTATGTGGCTAAGTATAATCCACCCTTTGTTTAGTACTCATTATGTACCTTGCAGTGTACTCTAAGGATTTACTTGAAGAAAAATCAAGGTACTACCTACAAATAAAAGGCAGTAAAAAGAGATACAATATTTTATGTCACTCTGAAGGGGATACAAAAGTAAAAGCTCTCTTTCTCCCCAAGGAGTTCTTTATTTCAGTTATAGAAGATACACAGTGGGTTCTGCATCCATGAATTCAACCAACTGGGGAGCAAAACATATATTTTTAAATTTATAAAATTATACATGCGCTAAATACCATAGACTCTTCTTATAATTATTCACTAACCAATATATAGTACAACACTACTTACTTAGCATTTACATTGTATTAAGCCTTACATGTAATCTAACGATGATTTAAAGAATGTGAGGATGTGTATAGGTAATAAGCAGTACTACATTTTATGTAAGGAACTGCATCTGCAGATTTTTATATCGTTAGGGATCCCAACCAGTCCCTTATGGATGCCAAGGGACTACTGTACTCAAAAAACTTAACAGTACCTGTTATTCCAGGTAGGCACCAAATACCTAATCACAAAGTTGGCTTTTAAAGTGGGTAAGGGGTAGGAGCCAGGTAGTGGGAGAGGCAGGCCTGAGATACCACAAAGGCCCAGGGTTGGAGGAAGACAATTTACCAGCCTGGCAGGAACGGGGAACTCTAAACTTGTAACGAGTTTAACCTTATCTTTTTAGCTTATCTTGTTTATAAATTGAAGATCTTAGTTGAGTTAAAACCCTGAAGGAGTCCTCAAAGTGTCCTGGCTATTTGTAATAAGAGTAACTTAGAATACTCATTTTATATATAGATATAGATATATAGATATAGATCTCTGAGTGTTACCACAGATTTTAAACATTAAAAATCTCTGAGCCTGGGTCTAGGGAAATATGCTTTTGTTGTTGTTGTTGTTGTTGTTACAATTTTTTATTTTGTTCTTGTTTGTGTTTTGTGACTGGGTCTGGTTGTGTTGGCCAAACTGGTGTGATAGCACCCTGCAAATAGTTACTCATCCTAACTATTTTAGAGGATGCAGCAGGAGGATTGCAAGTTTAAGGCCAGCTGGGCTACTTAGTTAGGCTGGGGGGCGGGGCCGCTCTTGAAAAAAGGGACTGCAAGTATAGCTGAGTGGTAAGCACCCCTGGGTTCCTTGATCCCAGTACTATTTTCTATATTTCAAAATTTACACACTGGAATAGGGCTTTGGGATCCATAGTATAACATAAGATCTACTGTGATTTCTTTGAAAGGACATTTCATATTGCTTTAGGACATTTTGCTTAAATGTAATGTAACTTTCATCTTTCTTTTTAAAATTTCATTGTGTATTTATTTTCTGTGTGTGTGTGTGTGTGTGTTGCTGAGGACTAAACCCATTGCCTCATGCATGCAAAGCAAGGGGTCAACCACTGAGCCACAACCTCAGCCCTAATTTCATTATTTTTAGTTTCTTTTAAATCATTCCAAATTTTTGGATCCTCCTTTTCGAAATTTGTCTGTAATAGTTTGTCTTCATTTGTACAGTAGGTGGTATTTAGCTTCTTAAATCTATATTAATTTCAACCTATTCTTGAACATTTTTAAAAATTCTTTTATCAATTTGGTTTTTATCCCCTAATAATGTCTTGCCATAAGCCCTTTAGGGTATGAATTGCAGATGTTCCACTTTTAAAGTGAGAAAGGGGAACACTTTTCACTGGATTAGTTCTTGGTATATTTAGGAATAAGTTTTTCCATGTATTTTTTATAATACATAGTTTAATGTGGATTTTAAATAGACACTCAGTAAATAAAGTGAAACATGAATTTTTCACAAAATCAACTTAAGAAAATTTATTTTAGTGAACAAGTTTACATATTAATGTAAGAAGATTTGCTGTAGTGTAATTGTCAGTATCTTGAAACTTAATAAACAGTAGTATTTAGTCTTGTTTGCTACTATATAACTGTGCATAGTACTTGGCACTAGTAAAATTATTATTAAATGTATGATATAGTAAGATATCCCACCAGAGTATTTATACAACTTTTTTTTTAATAGTTGTTAATGGATCTTGTATTTTATTTATTTATTTGTATGCAGTGCAGAGGTTGA